ATTAGCAACTGGGTTATTGAGTTAATATAGCATTTTAAAGACCCACATTTGTCTTTTTTGACACCTTCATAAATACAATGAGAAAATGTCACATACAAGATGTACACAATGTGGAACCATACTGTTACAGTATCATTCAAGCATATAAACTTTATACAACATTATACAGAGAGACTTGTCACCACTGGACCTTTACACATTTTTAGTGACAAAATTTGGAATTAATTCTTATTTTATTGACATTATCACACTTTAAAAAAAAAAAAAAAATTGACAACATACTTTAAAATAGAAAATTTAATTTTATGGTGACAAAAAAAGTAAATAAAACTTTCCATTGTTTCAAAGTTCCATTGTGGTTAAACTCTCAATTGCCTTTGCACATAACATACCTCAAAACATTGGAAGGCATGAGATTGGGACGGGTGGGCGAGAACCCGAGAGGGGGCATAGCCAGTGACACAACTGGGAAATGGGTGGAGCATGCTCACTGAAGGGGTCTGCCTGGCCAGCCTCCAACCTGCAGGAACTTGCAGAGTGCTGCTGAATCACGCACAGAACCTCTGAGATCTGTAGGTAAGGATGTTTTTTTTGTTGTTGTTTTTTTTTTAGAGACCCCCAACAGACACATTATTGGTCAAAAATACCCAGGTCACCCCTGAAGAGGGAGAGAGATTCAGAAGAAGGGGAACAAGAGGGGGAAGGAAAAACAAGGAGGTTAAGAGAAAACTAAAAACACAAAGACCTAGTAACTTGGCTGCACCAATTAAGATTTTTAACTTTTCTAATACAATTCTAAACTAAATTAAAAGGTACAAGTGTTATCGCTAAGAAAATGGAAAAGTTTTTATCTAATGTCACAAAAATTGAATATTTTATTGAGGATTTTATTACATGCGACACTAGCAATGTCGTATACCTTTTAACATGTAAATGTGGCCTCCAGTAAGTGGGAAGGACCACAAGACCATTGAAAACCAAAATGAGTGAGCATTTTAATATTTAAAATAAACTTACCACTCACTCTGTATCAGCTCATTCATAATTGTGACCTTAAAATGTTGAATTTTATCGGTATCCAAAAAGTAATAAAACCGTGAAGAGGGGGAGATTTTTTGAAAATTTTAAATAAGACAGAAATGAAGTGGATTTTCGATTTAGAAACCCTCTCCCCTTATGGTCTTAATTTAGACTTTGAAATGTACAATTTTATTTAGGATTTCTATGAGTGTAAAATATATATATAGAGAGAGAGAGAGAGAGAGAGAGAGAGAGAGAGAGAGGGAGAGAGGGAGAGAGAGGAGAGAGGAGAGAGAGAGGGGAGAGGGGGAGAGGGGGAGGGGGGGGGAGAGGGGAGGGGAGAGGGGAGAGGGGGGAGAGGGGGAGGAGGGGGAGAGGGAGAGGAGGGGAGAGAGAGAGAGAGAGAGAGAGAGAGAGAGAGAGAGAGGGAGAGAGGAGAGAGGGAGAGAGAGAGAGAGAGGAGAGAGGGAGAGAGGGAGAGAGAGAGAGAGAGAGAGAGAGAGAGAAAAGCCATTATAGGTAAAGTGCAATAAATTTAGATAATGCATACATGTAGAAGGTATTGAGATTACAGTGCAATAAATGTGTTAATAGATATTTTACCTAAGCTTTTATATTTTTAACACTTTTTCTCTCTCTTTTTGTCCTTAATAATGTATCATTTATGTATTTTTATTGTTGAGCATTTATCCCTATAAAGGGCTTGATAATAACATTTAGGACTTGGATATTGCCATATATAGGAAAATTTGAACTTCCTGGACTAAGCTTAACCGGAATACAGCCATTGTTAATGGTGGAACACATGAAAACAGCCGCTGGAACACATGCCAAAGGTGGAACGCATGAAAATGGCCGCTGGAACGCAAGGCAGCGAAACCGGAAGTGATGTCATTTGCCATTGCGATACCGATCGCAATGGAATTAGGAGGTTGGGAGGGCCCTGGTAGGTTAATTGGAATGGGGGCAAGTCCCTAATTTGAAAAACAGGCGCCAAAAATGGACTTATACTCACAGACTGCACATGGGAATATGTGTGCACCTGAGGAAGACTATTTAAGGGTTCAAACGCGTTGTGCTATTTGAGACACTTATTGTATGTACTATTTTATTTTATTCTGTTATAATAAATATATTTTAAACCAAGAAGCTGGTGCTCTCCATCAAATTCCATGAAGACCTGGTATTCCTGCAATGGGACCTGCATTATCTGACTATACTACTACCTGAGCCAGTTTGTTAACAGGCTCATTAAAATGTGAGTTGAATACCTAAAGAATACACTAAGTGACAAAACTGGGATATCTATGAGAGTGTTGTTTTTGTTTATTATTCCAGGAAGAAGCAATATCACTGTATTGATTTCTAGGTGTATCTATACTCACTTTGTTTCACATTGGGTTGTGTGAACCCTGGGAGCTAGAGTATTAAATACTGCTTCTATATTTTGCGCTGAGCACTTTACTTTTTATTGTATAATTTGGTCGTTGGTGGAATTTGGTGAGATTAATTCCACAGTGTTCATAGCTGCATGAAAAAACAGCCCACACTGTTTTTTTGTATACTTTAAAATAGAAAATTGTAATTTTATGGTGACAAAAAAAGTAAATAAAACTTTCCATTGTTCCAAAGTTCCATTGTGGTCAAACTCTCAATTGCCTTTGCACATCACATACCTCTAATCATTGGAAGGCATGAGATTGGGACGGGTGGGCGAGAACCTGAGAGGGGGCATAGCCAGTGACATAACTGGGAAATGGGCGGAGCATGCTCACTGAAGGGGTCTGCCTGACCGGCCTCCAACCTGCAGGAACTTGCAGAGTGCTGCTGAATCACGCTCAGCAGGATCCTAGCGCCCGTGTACAGCGCAAGTGCGTCCAACAAGATGCTAAAACTATACTGCCTGTAGCGGAGCTCCCTGTATTTCCTAGCTGGAACCAGGGAAAACCTCAACACTTCTGACCCAGCTTCCATGGCTTGACTGGGTTCCACCTGGAGTCTCTCTGTCCTGGTATAGGATAGGGGACTTGCTCTATTCCCTCCCAGGCACTGGACAACACACAGTCCTGGGAGCTATAGTCCTTACAAGGACGCTGAATCCTCCACAGAGCTGGAACAAGGAGCTGAGCAGTGAATAGCCCTTTCCCCTACCAGTAACTAGACCACACATAGTCCTGGGAGTACAATTTATTTTAATGAACCAAACTCTGCCTTTTATGCATAGACCCCTGCAAGGGGTCTTCAAACAATAAAATGCAAGCCCCTCCCAGGAGTCTCTGGGCCTGGGAGATAATGGAGTTAAAAAATGTGGAAACTTTTAAATGGGGATGGAACACTTATACAAGGCACTGAAGCTGTTAGCATAGTAGTTGGAAGCAGCTCTCATTCCAGCACTGTAAAATGTCATATCTTTTTAGGATGACCTTGGGCCAAGCTCGTCACACTATGTGAAAGTCATGCTGCTACAAGTGGAATTTGAGGGTGGAGGTGTTAAATAGAAATATCCAAAAAGACCAGACAGTTCTTACAAACTGAACAGAGCCGGGATCTTCTCCAAAGTTGCCAACGCAACTGCTTGACGTGCCAAGCAGGCAGATGCTCTTCTAAGAAAAATCTAAATTTCACAATTCAGATAAAAACCTAAGGCCAGTGCTGTATCTACTCGGGTATAAATACGGGGAGGTTTCTGTGTGCAGATATCGAAGCAAACAGAGACAAATTTAGATTTTCTCTCTTCAACACTGCTGTATTTATTAACTTAAAAGATGCAATCTGTTAAACTTTTCTTTAAATAATATACACCATTTTAATTCAATCAGTGCCTTTTCTCAAAATGTAACCTTCTGATTCTCCAGAAATTGAATGAGATATATATATATTTATAAACAGGTGATACTCGAAAAATTAGAATATTGTGCAAAAGTTAATTTATTTCAGTAAGGCAACGTAAAAGGGGAAACTAATATATGAGATAGACGCATTACATGCAAAGCAATATAGTTCAAGCCGTGATTTGTCATAAGTGCGATGATTATGGCTAACAGCTCATGAAAACCCCAAATCCACAATCTCAGTAAATTAGAATATTACATGCAATCAATAAAACAAGGAGTGTGCATAAAACAATATCGGACCTCTGAAAAGTATAAGCATGCATATGGACTCAGTACTAGGTTTTGGCCCCTTTTGCAGCAATTACTGCCTCAATGCAGCGTGGCATGGAAGCTATCGGCCTGTGGCACTGCTGAAGTGTTATGGAAGACCAGGATGCTTCAATAGAGACCTTCAGCTCTTCTGCATTGTTCAGTCTCATGTCTCTCATCTTTCTCTATGGGGAAATATAGATTCTCTATGGGATTCAGGACAGGCAAGTTTGCTGGCCAATCAAGCACAGTAATCCCACGGTCATTGAACCAGGCTTTGGTGCTTTTGGCAGTGTGGACAGGTGCCAAGTCCTGCTGGAAAATAAAGTCAATACCGTTATCGGCCAATTCAGATACCGATATTGCCGATAATACCTCCTAGGACCACCAGGCTCATTACAAGCCCGGCGGTCCTGGGGGGGCGGGCAGCAAGCGCTTACTCACCTCCCAGCAGCTCCTCCAGCTCCCCAGTGTAACTCTCGCGAGACCCGCAGCCGTCCGAGCATTGCCATGGGTTACCATGGCAACGCTCCGTGCGACACGCTGGCCGCGAGAGTTACACTGGGGAGCTGGAGAAGCTGCTGGGAGGTGAGTAAGTGTAATTGGCCCCCAGCTCAGCCAATACCAATGGACCACCAGGGACTGCTATATCCCCCCTCCCTGGCCAAGTATGAAACAGGGAGGAGGGACAACAAAAATAAATAATTAAATATATATATATATTTTAAAAAATGTAATAAATGCCCCCCCTCACACACACACTCTGCATTATATACACACAGACTACACAATCACATTGCATTATATACACACACACTACACAATCACACTGCATTATATACACACACACTCTATACAAACACACTGCATTATATACACACACACTCTATACAAACACACTGAATTATATACACACACACTATACAAACACACTGCATTATATACACACTATACAAACACACACACACTATACAAACACACTGCATTATATACACACACACTATACAAACACACTGCATTATATACACACACACTATACAAACACACTGCATTATATACACACACTATACAAAAACACACTGCATTATATACACACACACTATACAAACACACACTGCATTATATACACACACTATACAAACACACACTGCATTATATACACACACTATACAAACACACACTGCATTATATACACACACTGCATTATATACACACACTATACAAACACACTACACAATATACACACACTATACAAACACACTACACACTGCATTATATACACACACTATACAAAGCCATAATCATCGCACTTATGACAAATCACGGCTTGAACTATCTTGCTTTGCATGTAATGCGTCTATCTCATATATTACTTTCCCCTTTTACGTTGCATTACTGAAATAAATTAACTTTTGCACGATATTCTAATTTTTCAAGTATCACCTGTATATATATTAAATTGTCATTAAAAAATTCTGTTAGTCCAATAAAAAAGGTATTACAAGATAAGAATTGTATCTGTTTTTTACATATAAATATATATATAACATTATAATATGCATGATATTTGCAAAAAGTGTATGTGTGACCTGGGGCAGGAAGGAGATCAAGTTCCTGCCCGAGAACACTATAGAACAGAAACACATACACAAACTAGCTCAACATAGTGAAAATCACAGTGAGAAGTGTGGAAGCGCCTCTAGCGGCTGTCAATGACACAGCCACCAGAGGCTGGATTAACCTTAATGTAAACATAGCGGTTTCTCTGAAACTGCTATGTTTACAGCTGCAGGGTTAACCCTAGTTGTACCTGCCATCCAGACCACTTAATTGAGCTGAAGTAGTCTTGGTGCCTATAGTGGCCCTTTAAGTAGGAAATAGATGGGATTTACTAACCAGTACTTTGTCCAAAATTTGATTTTCAATTTACCACAGTTTATACAGGGCTGTCTTCAACAGAGGGGTGTCTTCAACGGGTTTATGGAAAAGGAATATCCTGTGCCCAGTTATTCCTTTACCATAAACACAATGCACAAAAGCCACAGGCAGCCCCTGCAAACACACAACACACGGAACCCCACTCACATACGGCCTAAAATACAAACATAGACATGGTCACAGAGATCTACATTCAAACACAAGAATATTCACTGTCAGACACGCACTCTCAGGGACTTACTTATGCAGACAATGCCAGACATATCTGGAAATACGCACAGTCCAATAAACATTGTGACTGCATGTCTGTATTTGTCAATGTGTGTGTGTCTGTGTATCAATGTGATATTTGTTAATGGGCAAACTTACTGTGGTATTAGTTGGCAAACTTACTGTGGTATTTATTAATGGGCACACGGACGGTGAGAATTTTTTTAATAGGCACCCAGTTTGGCATACGTTTAATGGGCAAACTGACTGTGGCATATTCACTGCAAAGTGACACTGGCAACAAGCAAGTGTGGTGTATTGTTAAATTGCCACTGTGCCAAGTGCTCTGGAGCAGTGTGAAAATTGACATGAGTTAATGTGACACATATCTGCCTTGGGGGCTGTGTGACACCGTGGCAAGTACTGTGGGGGAAGTCTCCCCTTTTGCAAATGATGTGGGGGCAGTGCGACCTTTTAGCAAGTGTGCTGGTGCATGGTGACCCTGTGGCTATATATCTTTGCTTGTGGTGTGCGGTGGAATTTTGGGAAGAGCTTCAGTGTGCCATGGGTGAGAAAAGGTTGAGGAACACTGATTTAAGTCTATGATCTATGTTTATGTGTGTGTTTTTTTGTATTTTTTATTTGTGTGTTGGGGTGGAGGGCCTGATTGTATGCTAGGGAGTGGGAGGGGGGTACAAGAGGCCCAAGCCATTTCTTGCCCAGGGTCCAATGAATATAAAAGATGACCTTGAGTTTAAGTTTTGTGGATATTTCCCTACATCTTTAACAATGCCACTCAGTTAAGGGAAATTTGCAGGCACTGAAATATTTAATTAACTTGAAATTATCTGATGTGTTGTAGAATCTTGTTTTTGTTATATGAATATTATAACGTCTTTATTCCAACTACTTCCAGAACACAGAAACTTACCTAGGTCTATACTAGTAACAGACTTTCATTGTATATGAATGGTCACTACTTATGGTTCTTGTTAAGAATGATGGATGAAGGCCTGTTGATAGTAACCTTTGACCTAGCTTTGCAAGCCAGACTCCCTGTGTATTACCAAGGCTCAAATTTCTAAAGGCATTTATTCATTTAACCATGTATATAGAACTTCTTCTGTGTAACTTCTATTTTACCGCCTAAATATAATGTATGGCTTTAATCATAGTTTTAAAATGATACTAAGCCACTACCTTTTTTTTATGATAGCCAATCATTTTAAAGTAAGGCAACCTTATGTATACGCCCCTATGTAACTGAATTTTAAACATATAAAACGGATTGTAGCTAAGGATTTTTACCAATACCTTTAAGTGCATACACATTGCTCTGTATTGGTCAAGACGTTCAAATACTTTTTATTTTAATTTTTTTAGATGGTGTGTATGTTTGAATAAATATTCATTTTTGCCTGCAAGACACTCAGATTCGATTATTAGAACACTAATGTGTGACAAACAAACACCTCAAGAAAAGCTAATTTCCTACAGGTACCATAACCACTACAGCCTGGCTTTAGTGGTTATGTTGCCAGGAGTGCCCTGGCTCCATCCCAGGGTATGTTATCAAACCATTTGAGAACAGTTTGACAATTTGCCTATGGACTGCCAGACACCTGTCTCCTCCAGTGGACCTGGAAGACCTTGTAAGAAGCTATACCAGGCTAAGGCCTGCCATGCAGGACCTGTTCATTGGCTAAAAATATCAGCTGAGCTCTATCAACCAATGAGCTAAGCCCTGCACCAGCTGGATTCCAGGTAAGTTGTCAAACTGTTCCTTAAGATGGCTGTAGTGATTATGGTGCTTGGGTGTTATTTTAATGTAATTCAAGAAGGACTCATGAGAGCTCTGATATGTCAAGAGGTTATTTACGGTACTACAAGTTAATGATACAGAGGGAAAAAAAATACAAACACACTTCATCTCAACACGACATAAGATATTGCCTACCACATTTTATTTTACTTCATGTGCGTGTAATACCATGCAACATAGCAGGTATGCTTTTGGAATAGATTTGAAAAGGATCCCAAAGTGCAGTAGTTCTCAACTTTTTTCAACAGTAACCCTTATTACACACACACACACACACGTAGAATCTGCATGACAACACATTCCTAGATTTTTGAATCTACTCTGTGATTAATTATTCCACTATAATATCATCTACCCAAAGTGACACAATCAGTTACAGTTACATAGCTGAAAAGAGACTTGCGTCCATTAAGTTCAGCCTTCCTCACATTAGTTTTTTTGCTGTTGATCCAAAAGAAGGCAAAAAAAACCCCAGTTTGAAGCACTTCCAATTTTGCAACAAACTAGGGAAAAAAATCCTTCTTGACCCCAGAATGGCAGCCAGATTAATCATTGGATCAAGCAGTTATTACCCTACATTGAAAAAGTATATCCATGAATATTCTGTTTTTGCAAGTATGCATCTAGTTGCTGTTTGAACATCTATATGGACTCTGATAAAATCACCAGTTCTGTCAAACACTTCCACTGGGCTTCTCCAGTGTCAGATGGGTCTCCATTTCAAAGCCATTGCAGACTCACAGAATTAGAACCCATATTTATTTCCCAAGCCAACAAGCATAATCTTTGTGTCTTAGCTATACCTATCGCCTTTCGATATTGCACATGATCTACTTGAGTGTGTTAAGAATGCTAAGGAACAAGAGGAACACTCCATTTAAAGCTTTCTTTTTCTTCACTATTAAATTAATATAGCCACCCCACCCCTCGACCCCCTTTCCCCCCAAACATGCATGTAGTTGTTTTTGTATGTTTTATTAAGGGGGCATATGAAAAATGTGAAAAGAAAAATTAAACTTACAATTGATGCAGATCAGTCCCCTGCAGCCTTTGTAAACTGTTCCCTTGATTCACCTATGGACCGTACTACATCTGATTGAGAAGCATTTGAAAGCCTTAATTGAATGATCAAGCACAGGACAGAAGATTCTCAATAAGAAGCCTCTGATGGGTGAATAAAAGGGAAAACTTGTAAAGGCAGCTACCAGAAGCCGAAGTGCCTTATGTGTCTAGTATGTTGCAACATACATGTCTCCTTTTTTTCCCACTGATGGCTGGGCCTTTGATCCTGCTCGAATGGTAAGCAGTGGGGCATGGTGAACACCACTGTGGGTGGCAAGTACCTAACAAGTGTATCATGTACCATTTCTTTCTTTTATTATTATTGTTTTTTATATAACGCCAACTTATTCTGCTGTGCTTTACTATATTATGAAAGGGGGGGAGGGGGGAATTTAACAATAAATTAAACAATTACAAAATTAAACAGGAACAATAGGTCTTGTTCCAAACTAGCATCTTGCAAGCATTTAATTTAATCTTATAAACTCTGCTATAATGGATTTTATATGGCTATATTTATATTTTTATATAATAAATATCTAAAAGACAAAACTATTGCTTCCAAGCCAATCCTTATTTTATATTGTATTCTCAATTATTTATATATGTTAAATAGAGGATCTCTTACACTAACTATACAAAAATTATGGCTAAGATATCTGTATGGTTAGCCCTACTAAGTTCTATGCTTTAAGACATTAAAGTGGTAAATAAGGGAACCAGCCGCGGTTACAATTGGCGACCACGAAGGGACATTGTACTTGGAAGCTTTAAATATAAAATAATAAATACCTAGGTAACCTCTTATACGTAAGAGAAGACACAATACTTTGTCATGGCACAAGTCTTGAAATATGAAGAATCTATTGAGCTATTTGTAGCCCAGACTCAGAGACAGATCTTCATCATGGAGAGATGATTTTAATGTGAACAAAGCACTTTGAGTTCAGGTGCCAGGTACATCGTAATTAGCATAAATGCTGAAATTGTGGATCTTAATATCATAAGAGAACAAATATACATATTTGGTAAACTCCCTGATATGCCTAGCACAGCATGGCCCATTAGTTCCAGGACA